TCCCTCCCTCCCCCACTCCCTCCTTCCTTCCTTCCCTCCCTTTCTCCCTCCTTCTCTAGACGTAGCTAAGATTGAAAAAGCACAGCTTTCCAGCACAAGCCCATAGATTCAACATCACCATTGAAGATTATAGATTTGGGGATTCACGTGGCCTCATTGGGAGGTAGTTCTTTGACTCCATCTCATGTCATCTCATTTGAATCATCTCATTTCTGTAGCAGAATGTCTGTTTCTTTGCCCTCAACTTTAATTTTACCTTTGCTACATTTCTTATAATACAACTTCTCAGCCATCCAGGGCCAATCTGAGTTTTCTCTGCTGTTTTAAAGACAGACATCTAGACCCTATAAGATCACAAGTCACAAAGAAACGATCACTAATGCAGGTGATTTGGGTGCCAAAGATGTCCATGATAGCCTTTTTCATAGAAACAACAAAAACACACTAAATATAGCCTAGATACCTAACGATCAGGAAGTAGGTACATAAATAATAACGTAACCATTATTTAACAGTCATATAACACTGAGTGAGAAAAGCAGGAAACAAAACTGTCTATAACTTCATTGTATTGAAGAAAAGTATACACATATAGAAAGAACCGAAGGAAATAACCCCTTATTTTTGTAATGGTTACCACTGGATAGTAGAATCTAGGTGATATCTCTTATTTATGCTTTCTTCAAAGCACAGATGAATGAATGAATGAATGAATGAATGAATGAATATTACTTTTACATTTGGAAAGAAAACTTTTTCAAAGGTCAAAAAAGGTTAGTTGCTGCATCAGGCTCCAGCAAGCTACAGTAAATCGTTTTCTTCTCCTAGACTGGCTATTAGGAAGTCACTTTCTCTCCTCATTTTAAAGAGGGAAGGTGTTGCCACATTATTGAAGCAATCAGCCAGTGGGGTTCTTTCAAGAGCAATAAACTGACCTCTCAAGAGAAAATGAGTGAAGCTCAGGAAATTAGAGCTGGAAGCCCCTTAGGAGTGGCCCTAATGCATCCCTCAAGAGGCAGCGCCATATACATTACACTTTCTTTTCCATTTAATTGTAAATATTTCAAGTGATTGCAATTTCACAGCTACATTTTAGACCAGTCAACAAGCTATTAATCCATCTTCCCCGAGCAGAATATAATAACTAGCAAACTTCAGAGGTGTCGACCTAATTCTCTTGCCTGGACCTGCTAGCTGAACAAGTATCTTAGGCTTGGTTCAAATCCTGGCACCTCTACTTTCTTACGTAAAAGACCTCACAGAAGAGCCTTTCCCTCTCTGATTCTAGGTATCCTCATTAGTAAAAAGGAAACGTCTCCACCTACTTCACAAATGGTGCTATAGGAATTAAATGAGATGACGCATCGAGACAGTGCATTGAGTACACACAGTAGGTAATCAGTAAATGCTCAGTGATTCTGGAGTGTTGGACCAGTGTTGACCAGTTGTTTTCCTGGCCCAGGAGATGGGCTCTGCTGAGTCACCAACCCCTTCTTTTGTATTTCCTTGGATGACACAAGTGGGTTGGTGTGAACAGAACAGTTCATGACCTTGAAACAGCAAAATTCCATTAAGTACCCAAACCATGGGCTTAGCCAACTAAATTCACCAGCCTCAGGTCACAAAATATGGCTCAGACAGCACCCACTGAGCCTTTTCATCGATGCTAAGAGCTGCGATTGGAACACGGGCCATGGGGATGGGAGAAAATGGATGGAATAAAGGGTCATGCTCAAGATGGAATCAATGGGGTTTGATGAATCATTCAGGTAGAGAGGCTGAGGAAAGAGGAGAATAATGCCCCCAACTTCCTAACTTGGATTACTAAATGCACAGTTTATTGACTCAATGATATTTTACTGAGCACCTACTAAGAGCCAGGAACTGTTCTGGGCATGGGGTGGGGGTGTGGGGGACACCACAGTAAATGAAACAGAAAAAAAAAAAAACTTGGCTCTTGTGAATTTCCTTTCTAGTGGAGGAGACAGACCATAAATAGTAAACAAGTAAATAAGACAATTTCTGCTTGTGGTAACAGTGATGAAAGAAACAGAGTAATGGGATGGAGAATAAGAGGATGGAAGGCTACTTGAGATACAATGGTCAGGGAAGGGCTCTCTCAGGAGGTAATGCGTGATGGGTCCTGAAAGATGAGAAGCAAGATAGGAAGGGAAGCATTACAGGAAGAAGGAACAGTGGGCGTGAAGCCTTGGGGTGGGAGAAAGCTTATTTGAGAAATGCGTGGACAAGGCCTGTATAGATGGAGCATAGCGAGAGGAGAGGAAAGGAGGATGGAGAAGTGGAGAGGATCCAGCAGCCAAGGACCGAGCCTTGAGAAGCAAGTCCCTGGGGAAGACACTTTTACCTCTGACATGCTAAGTATGAGGTGCTGGAGAGGATCTTCATACTAAAGATCCAGAGCGATGTCCTCAGAACCAGAGACAGTATTTGCTTTGGATTTGAGAAAACGTTCAGTTGCGTCTAAGTTAATGGGGAGTGTACTAAAACTACAGATTTCTCAGGCATTAAAAGTACAGGTTTCTGAGGTGCCACCCTGGGAAGTTGCAATTCAAGTAGGTCTTGGTCAAGATCTGGAAACCATTTTTTTTTTCAATACTCCCAGGTAATTAATTCTGATCCATTCATCCCAGAACTATTTCTTGCATTCCTACCATGTGCCAGGACAAATCTAAGTGCTGGGGATACAGCTCTGAAAGGGTTACGGAACTTACAGTCTACAGAAAGAAGAGTCAGTGACCAAGTAAACAAAGTACAATAGTGATACAAGCCACCACAAAAAGCTGGTAAAAATACAGAGTAATCATGGGGACCAGCACTAGATAAATCCAAAGAGAAGATCTCTGAGGAAGTGACCTTTGAGCTGACTGCTAAGACATAAGAAGGAGCAGCCATGTGACAGCCTGGGGGAAACAGCATTTTAGGGGGAGGGAACAGCCAATGCAAAGGCTTGGTTGAGAACTCAGTGGATGAATCTAATTCTTTGGCTTATTCCCACTTGATTAACCAACCAAAATGGAGGAGAAGGCATGGTGGAGAAGGAGCTGTTTCATCTTTTTTTTTTTTTTTAAAGATTTTTATTGGGGAATTTGGGGATGGGGAACAGACAAGTTGCTGTCTTTTTGTTCTTCAGTCTAGTTGTGGAGGACGTT